CATTTTGTGATACAGTTCCATAGGCCCTGGGATTTCCCTTATCACCTTCTCAATCCCCCCCTCATTGAGTCCCCCTATATCATTACTATAGTATGGTTCTTCATACACAGTCATAAGTCCATCATTGTAGGCATGGACAATGGCAGAGTCCAGCATCCTATTTTCAAGATATAGTTAACAGTTTTACTGGGAGTCCATCTTTGGTCTGGCAGTACAGATGCATACTGCATTGTACCCTCACATCTGTGTATGATAGACTCCATTACACAGTTACTATACATCCCCTTAAACGAAAAGCCATAAAACAAAATAAACAGCAGGAAGAAAAATGGAAGTTTACAATGCCATGAAGTTAAATAACATGCTACTGAATGACTAATTGTCGCTGAAGAAATGAGAAAGAAAATCAAGAACCTTCTTGAAGAAATGATGCTATTGTATGACCCCTGAGTCAGTGAAGAATTTAATATGAGGGGAAATGAAACTAAGAACAAAAGCATTAACATCCATGAGATACAGTTTCTGCTGATCTTTGTTGGTGAGATGTGTGTCCTATAGGCAACAGATTGATGGGTTTTGTTTATATTGAGCAATCTTTTAATAAGTAGTCTAGGGCCAGTTGTATGTCATGGTAGGTTAAGCTGCCACCTGCCATGCCAGCATTCTATATCAGAGCACCAGTTCAGGTCCTAGCTGCTCCACTTCCAGTCCAGCTCCTGCTAATGCACCTGGAAAAGCAGCAGGCGATGGTGCTTGGGCTCCTATGCCAAAAAAGACCTCAGTGGAGGTTGGGGCTCCTAATTTCAGCCTGATCCAGCAGCCCCAGTGACCATTTGAGGAGTGATCCAGCTGGTAGAAGACGGATTGATCTCTCCTTTTGCCCCTTCCTCCGCGTCACTCTGCTTTCCAAATAAATAATTCTGCCCCACAGAGGACATTCCTGTGTAAAAGACGCTTCGTTGTACTGGAGAAAGGGCATATAACTGGTATGTGCAGGATAGAGACAAGGGATGCTGCTAAACGTCCCATGGTGCACATGGCACTCTCCTTGCTCTGCAGGAAATATCCAGTCCAAAATGTCAACAGCACCACTATTGAGAAATCCTGGCATGCAGTGACTGCAGAGTAGAGAATGGGCTATGGGCAGGGATTTGGACTAACAAGAGCAATGTTTTCATTTCACCTCCACTGTCAGACTGCTCCCATGGTATTCTGGTGTGTGTCTCCGCCTTTGCAAAGTGAACACTGCAAAATTCAGATCACTGAGTGCTCTAACTAAATGGCCAGGACTTTATCCTATCACACAATGCTTCAAATTCTATCTTATCATTAAAAAAATGAGCGTTTATGAATTTTGCTTCACATGAAGAGAATCGTACACACTTCTCTTTTGTCCACTTGAGTATATCTACATTATTAAAACCTGCCAGGGACAGGCAGTTTTGCCTGCTGGTTAAGATGCCTGGTTGCCTGGGATCAATTCCAGATTCGGCTTCTCATGGTAGCTGCCTGCATTTCATGTGCACCATGGAAGGCAGCAGGTGGTGGCACAAGCAACTACCTACCTGCTAGTCCCACGGCTGACATGAAGGTAGCGCCTGTCTCCCAGGTGCAGCCTGCTTATTACAAGCATTTAGGGCAGAAGATGGGAAAAATGTGTTTATATTTCTGTCTGTCATCTCTTTGTGTACCGTATTTTCTTTCATCTATTATCTGTCTCTATCAAACAAACAAATGGTTAAAAACCTACCCCCATGGCCCCACACAGTTGCAGCATAACTCTTGATGAATCTTTCCTACCTGCTCTTACCCTCTGACATTGCTGCTACTCCACGCAATCTCATGACTTAGCAGCTGCTTTGGCAGAAGGCTTTCCCGTCTCCCTTTGCTCTGTCATCTCTATTTTCAGAGTTTAGAGAAGCAAAATACAACGAGCGAGCCAGAGGGGGAGTTGGAGGATAGGAACAGTGACAGCAGAACAGGACAGCCGGCTGACAGGGAGGACATTGTCCAGCTGGTGACACTGAGGACATGAAAGGTGAAACTCCATGCAGGGCAGTGTTCCATGGAAGGAAGGGTTAATCCACAGGTCTCTTAAACATCTGCAATACATTTGTAATTTTAAAAATGAAGAAGAAGAAAGAAAAAGTTTGCCTGGAGGTACTTGGACTTCTCTTTTGCAACAGAGTTCTCTCTGGAGTTCAAAAAGTGTGTTGCATCTAACCTTCTTCGTGAATTCCTGACCAAACTAGAACATTCTGGATTTAAATAGGGCATACTTTTGGTCATTATGATTTCCTGTCTTTGGGGCAGGGAAAGAGATTAAGAATGGCTGCAAAAACTGCTTATATTAGAGGCTGCTCTTTAAACATTGACTTCATGGGAGCTGAGTGTAAACCGGGTAAAAACATATGGATTAAATTTCCCATGGAATATGAATGGCTTTAAAAATTAAAAAGGGTCAGGGCTTGGCAAGCTGTAATTACTCTTTGTCAAAGCACAAGTATTTCAAAAGTACTTGTTGTCATTAAAAAATTATTCCCAATATAGCCAGCTCTACCTTGCCTTACTCGTTGTTAATTTATTGGCATTTATCTTAAGGTTATATATCATATTAGGAACAGCAATAAGAACTTAGTTGACAGACTGTAGATTTGTGGGATTTTCTTCTAATACTTTAAAATAATTTACTTAAAGGATTTTTTGTTATGCAAACTTGTGTGGTTTCTATGTCTTCATAAACTGGTTTCATATCACACTTAAACATGATTCATGAAAATTAAATTTGTTTCTATCACAACATTTAAAGAACATAGAAAGAAACAACATTTATTATAGTTACTTATGTTAGTGCTCACATTTTTAGCACAGAGACATAGATAAATTTAATATTGAAGTCATAGACCTTACTTTTATCAAATTCATATAGTTGTCTAAAGGCAGAAGTGATAACTAAAATTATTTAGTAAAAAAAAAAATCCTTAAAGAAAACACAGTTAGCATTGAAAGGTATAATAACTATGGAGTTATCTGGACTTGATTACATGAACTGATGAAGCCCAGCCATGTGCAGTAGGCACCAGTGGGTGGGAAGAGACTGTTGCCAGTGAAGACGGGTATCATCTTTCTCAGAGTCGTCTACTGATGAACTTGACTTGAGGATCAAGTTCGACTTTTAGTAGAGCATATATGGTAGGGAAGCATTGGGGGAAGGAGGATAGCAGAAAGCTGGACAGCAGGTACTGAAATGCAGACAGAAGAGACGAGTTCCAGGGTGAGTGTAGGTTGCCGTTAGAGGCTGGAGTCTGTGAAACAAACTGGAGGGGAGGAACTGGTGTGCCCCAAACACAGGGGAAGGATAAGGAGATGCAAAGGTTTGTTTGTGGTGTGCATGTCTTGAAGTGCTGCACCACAGCCTAGGAAAATGGGCACATGCTACATGGTCGTCGGCAGCTTGAATTAAAACCAACAGTGCTATGTCTAACATGCGGCTCTACATAGAGATTGCTATCGTTTTTAGATTTCTCTTATCTTCTAAGTAAAATTGTACATACTTTTTTCTACTCATCCTGAGCTTCCACTCTACCACAATGAATGCCACAGTTGACACTAAGTAATTTATCCATGTAAGACAGCTTTACAGTAGATAATATGACAAAGACATTATATATAACAATATACAGTTCAGCTATCTGTAACCTATACTTTGTATAAATAATTGGAAAAAATAATTGGAATTGATATTTGTTTAACTTTTCTAAAAGTTTATTTTTATTTATTTGAAAGAATTACAGACAGAGAGAGAATAAGATATCTCCTCTCCTCTGGTTTACTCCCCAAATGCCTGTAGCAAGTAAAGCCAGGCCAAAGCCAGCAAGGCTGAAATTCCATCTGCGTCTCCTACATGGAAGGGAAGGAGCTGAGCACTTGGCTAATCATCTGTCACATGCCAAGGTGCATATTAACAGGAAGCTGAATTAGAAACAGTGATAGGACTTGAACCTAGGCACTCAAAATGAGTTATGAGCATCCCAAATATTGATCTATCCTACTGTGCCACAACATCCACCCCACACAGGACCCACTGTCATAACCTAGTACACATAGGACCCATCGCAGTAACCTAGTGGCTAAAGTCTTCGCCTTGCTTGCGCCAGGATCTCATATGGGTGCTGGTTTCTGTCCTGGCTGTCCTACTTCCCAACCCTGCTTGTGGTCTGGGAAAGCAGTAGAAGATGGCCCAAAGCCTTGGGACCCTGCACATGCTTGGGAGACCCAGAGGAATCTTCTGTCTTCGGATGGACTCAGTTCCTGCCATTGTTGCCACTTGGGTGTGAACCAGAGGACAGAAAACCTTTCTGTCTCTCCTCTCTGTAAATCTGCCTCTCCAATTAAAATATATATTTTTTAAAAGTACACATAGTATTGTTATTTTGCTCTCACCAGCAAGCATGAAAGCAAGAACTTTGTAAAGTGATCGGTCTGAGATTTCTGCTTGTAAAGAGAATTTATGCTCTCTCATATTCCATGGAATATAGGTGATACCATTTAAGCATCACCTGTACATATTCATACATGCCTTTACTACTCAAATATATACTTATGACTTAACACTTACTGAATTTTGTTGCAGAATAGAAATGCCACTAGTGTGTTGATATTACTAAATATTCAATTATGTTTCAATGACATCACTTTGAACTCATTGTCAACCTCAAAGGTGCTGAACCCTTTGTGCTCTGTTGAATTACTCCTCTTCATTTTCTAAGTTACAGATTTTCCCAGAATTTTTTCTGATCAAAAATCTTTAATACATTGCCAGTGATGTTATTTTTTTGAAAAGAATGTAAATGCATTTAGAAAATTCCAATGACCTTCCGAAGTAAATTCATGTTTTGTAAATCATGTGGAGGCTGACTTTCTTCATCACAGATGTCTGGATGTGTGTGGGACTGAGCCACTAAATTTCACTCCCTCCTTTATTTCATTATCCATTGCAGGAACATCCCTCACTAGGCCAACTGTCTGAGAAATTAATAGACAACAACATCAATGTCATATTTGCAGTTCAAGGCAAACAGTTTCATTGGTATAAGGTACGTCAACTCCCCAAATGATTTTCATTGGTAATTAACTTTATAAGACTTCATGGAACCACAGGTAAGTATTCTAGAATTAACATATTTTGTGCGCTTACAGAGTTGAATACTGTGTTAGTTACAGTATATTTTACAGTGTCCTAAGTGAACATTCAAGTATAAATTCTGTCTACGTTGGTAATACGTGGAACCTAATGTGGGCACCAAGTTCCGCTTGAGAATTATTGTCAAAGTGCATAGCGCCAAAAGCAACAATAGCACAGAAGAGTTCCATGAGCTGAACATAGTGGCTCACACTCCACATCTACACCTTCCAAAGTTCTGTATTTGAGGGATCTTCAAAAACTTCATGGAAATGCATCTTATGATAGAACTAACTACACATGGATTCTAATTTGGGTCACCAAAATGAACTTATCTTTTCATTCCATCCCCCACGCCCACTTTTTGAAGCATCCTTATCTTCTGTCCCCTGGTTATGCCCTTGTAGAGTAAATACCAGGTTACTTTTCAATAGCAAAAACACACCTAGCTAGGTCTAGGTCATCCCACAGAGAATCAGTTGGAGCCATGAAAGTGGGTTGAACCTGTCGCAGTCTCATACATAAAAATAATCTTCTTGGGATCTGGAAACTGTGTGGGATCTGCACTGTGAGGCAGTGAGTTAAACCACCATCTGAGGCACTGACCTCATCTATGTGCTGGTTGGAGAGAGGAGGAGAGACAGAAGATCTTCCTTCTGCTGATTCACTCCCCAAGTGGCCCCAATGGCCAGAGTTGTGCCAATCTGAAACCAGGAGCCAGGAGCCAGGAGCTTCTTCTGGGTTTCCCATACAGGTACAGGATCCTAAGGCCCTGGGCCATCCTTGAATGCTTTCCTAGGCCACAAGCAGGGAGCTAGATGGGAAGCAGCACAGCCGGGACATGAACTGGTGCCCATATGGGATCCTGATGCATGCAAGATGAGGACCTTAGCCACTAAGCTACCGTACCAGGCCCAACCTTGCTTTTCTAAGCAGTGGAGGATGGCCCAAGTCATCGGGCCCCTCCACTTCTATGGGAAACACAGAAGAAGCTCCTGATACCAAGCTTTGGTCTGGCCCAGCTTTGATTGTTACACTGTTTGGAGAATGAGCCAGTGGATGATGAGTCTCTGTGTCTTCTCTCTCTTTCTCTGTATCTTTGGCTTTCAGATAAATAAATATATCTGCCTTCCTAAGGAAGTGGTCTGATTTCCCCCAGCACAGAGTTGTTCATCTGTGACCTTGTAGTAGCTTCCCTCCCACAGAGCCTCAAGTTCATTTCTATGGAAACTCTGCCCTTCCTTTCCATGACTCTGTACTGGCCTCATTCCCATTGTGCACCCCTGTTCTCTTCAGCTGAGTTTTCTCAGGTGCGTTGCTTTTGGTATCTTCCTTATACTCTTTATACTTCCTTATACTCTTGCTAAGTCACCCATCTTCAATAACCTTTCCTCAATTTTCACAGCTTTGGAGAAGCTACATTTTCTTAGGACTTCCACATGGTTGATACCTCCATCAGCTCTCCCGATGCCTAACTGCCATGTTTGTCATGGCAAGGCACTGCTCTCCTCCTCTTGTTTCCTAATCCTAAGAAACATGGAGTGAAACTTTACTTCCCTGTTTCTGCAGATAAACCATGGAACCATCTTTCTGTGCAAGTTGGGCTCTGACTCGAAAGTCAGTGGCCCAAACTACTTCAATAACAGGGAGGATTTCTGCTTATTGCACATTTAACTACCATCTGCCTCTGAGTTTATAAACATTAATTCAGTGCATCCTCTTTGTGACACATAAAAATATACTCATTTTAAAGATATGGAAATATTTTTTAGAGCAGTTAAATACTTTCCCCAAATTTTCTTAAAACCTGAAGTCCAGACTTTTAACATTTAAGAACTGTTGTCTTTGGAACTTTTGCCTCCCCTTTCTCTGAGTTTGAACACTTCCTGATTTTCCTATTGGCTACAGCAACTTCTCCCTACACTCTATAAAATTCTCCACTAAGTAAGAAGCCATGAATCCAGGTATAATTTTCATTGAATTCTCTGCAAAGTAAAGAATCAACAGACTGCAAAACCTGATAAATTCTTGCTATGAGTCCTCTGTGTACCTTCATAGGGCCTCCTGCTTTAAATGCCCAAGGATCATTGTTTAAAAGATTTATTTTTATTGCACAGTCAGATATAGAGAGGAGAAGGAGTAGAGATGAGGATCTTTCATCCAATGATTCACTCCACAAGCCACCACAATGACTGGAGCTGAGCCAATCCAAAGCCAGGAGCCTGGAGCCTCTCCAGTCTCCCATGCAGGTGCAGGGTCCCAAAGCTTTGAGCTGTCCTCAACTGCCCTCCCAGGCCACAAGCAGAGAGCTGAATGGGAAGCAGGGCTGCCAGGATTTTAGAACCAGCACCCATATGGGATCCCTGCATGTGTGAGGCAAGGACTTTGGCCCCTAGGCTATCATGTCAGGTCCACAAGGATCATTTTTTTATCCACCCCCTTTGATCTGAGTTATAACAGCCTTGTAATTTTTCTCCCTAATCTATCCTCCAAGTGGTGGCCAGGATGAGCTATTAAAATCACAAATGTACCCACAGAGCTCCCTCGAGATGAATGTTCTGGTGGCTCCCCTTGAGTTGCAGGACCAGAGCTCTGCTCGTGCTGTGTGCAGCCCCCTGCTCTCTGCTTGCATCAGTGGCCTCATGGCCCACCCTTGTTGACCTTACACTTGTTCCTCCGTCCAGACTTCCACTCCCCCTGTGCACATACTCTCGGGTCTGTTTCTTTCCTTCATTCCTTGGTGCTTGCTACCTGCTGCATCCCATGTCTGGATGTCCGTCTCATTCATCACTTGTTTAACTCTTTTTCATCTTCTCTGCTTCCCCCTTCCCCAACTCGGGTAGAACTGTAGGCCTCTCCTTGTTCTCATTTCATCCCTAGAAACACTTAGAACCCCTCTCCGAGATGTTTACTCATCTGCTTAAATAACAGCTACTTCTGTCTGTGAACATGATGTGTCATCCAATTGGCCCCTCACATTTCCAGGAGATCCTCGTGTGGGGCAGGAGTTCTGCAACATAGTCACATACGGTACATGAGAAAGAGTCTGACAACTAAAGCAGCATTAAAAAAAATGCCACATGAAATAACTTCTACATCACCAGCCTGCTCTGATCCTTTTAAATCATAGATGTGTTATGAGTCTCTAAGGGGAAGGCGTCAAACACAGAACTATTTCCCTCTCTGAACTCATTTCATGTTTAAAATTTTTTAGGGTATGCGTTCTGTGGAAGATATTTTGGGAAATGCTGATGCATGCTTTTAATTGGGTTTTTCGGTCGCCATGCTTACGCACACCCACCCACTCTCACATATACACACACACACTCATTTCAGAAGTCATGTTTTGACTGCCATCCTAGATTGTGTCTCACCTTTTTCTTTCATGTATTTGGCCACCTTCTGATGAATGTGAGCAAGTTTAAATATTTGTTGGTTGTTATTCTTAAGTATTGCACCCTGTAGTCATTATATAACAGCTACTGGTATATCTTCTAGGACCTTCTACCCCTCCTGCCTGGCACCATTGCTGGTGAAATAGAATCAAAGGCTGCAAACCTCAACAATTTGGTGGTGGAAGCCTATCAGGTATGTGTTTATCACACCCCATTTCCTGCAAAAAAATTAATTCAGCCCTGACCTCTGAGTCAAGATATAAATTATACACACACACAGAGTGTCATATATATTCTTTAGTAAGCTATAAATGTGAAGAGTAGTAGTGGAAAGAACATTACAAATTAGGAAGCTGGAGCTTAGCTCTGGATTCACCACTAACTAGGAGTAATACTGGGAAATCACTCAGCTTCTGCCCCTATGAGTCCCCGTGGCAAGAAACTGAGACTAGGTTGGAGGCTGCTTCAATTTCCTTCCCAATCCAAAGTTGAAGAGGTCATTAAACCACGGCAATACAATGTACTTTATGACCAAGGCATTGCACAAGTTTCAACGTCAGCAAGTGAAAGAAACTGACACTACTACTTAAAGCAAGACTCCGCCAAAAAAAAAAAAAAAAAAAAACTGTACCATCCGAACACAGAGATTACTAAGAGGACCGTCGCATCGCTGTGATCAGCCGTTCATTCAACTAATTATGTGAACAGTTTCGTGTGAACGGTCTGATGAATAGAAACCTTCATATTCTCTTACTGCGTTGATGTTGATGCCCAGGAATTTAGCAAAACATCCGGTCTCTCACACTGGGTCATTTCTGCTTAGAACATGTTAAGATGTTTTTCATAATAAGAGGCTGTTGTTTTCATGCCACTAAGAATCAGTCATTTTCCGCAATATACTGCTTTTGACACCACACCTTTGACCTTTAATGCAAGTGTCAGAATTCTCTTTTTATGACTGTGCGAGTGGAAACTAAGGCACAAAGTGAAGCAAATTCAGCCAAGTGCACACAGTTCATGAACCAAGCAGCACCATCGGGGTCCCACGGCCTCACCTCTGGGCCCCAGGTGCTTCCTCCCGTGTGCCATCACCTGTCTTTCCTTTTCATTCAGTGTGAAAAGATACACTTTGTTCCCTCTTGAATTTATGGAATGATTATAAAACTCATTCCCCCAATTTCTCCAACTGCCACCCCAACACGTGAACTTGAATAAATATTAGCCAAAGTATTACAAAAAAGCTTCAGGCTGCTTCCACCCTTCTCCAGGCAGCACCTGCCCCACACTGGGGTACAGAAAGGAAAGGCAGGATGTGGACACAATATGTAAATGAAGAACTTGTTTAAACTTTCTTTTCTTTTTTTTTTTTCAAAGAAAATAAATCTTGCTAGGTTTGTTTTTGCCAATGATTTTTCCTAAGTCTGAAAACTACACTTAATGAAATAAGAGAGTGCCTATTAAATTACATCTTTTTCTCAACCCTTCCAAAAGGAACTTAGGACTGGGATAAATATCTATAAAGATAAATCAAACAGTTACATAATTCACTTTCATCATAGTTATGTTCCTAGGGAGTCCAGATTAAAAAGGAGCTTATACTGTTAGCAGTTTTCTAAATTTTTATGGTATGAACCTGTTTTCTACCCCAATCAAGGTATATAAATTGACAAAGACTTACTTATATGTCACACTACACCAGAGCAAAAGGAAATGGCAACATTTGAGTTCAGGCTCATCACCGCCCCAGATAGATATGGGATGTCTTAGCCCATGATACTTTTGACTAGCCTTGAAGAGTGGACAAATTATAATCAATCTAATGAAAACAGATGAATCTAACTAATATCCTTATGGTGGGTGCTGCAATTACTTTGACTTCCATATTTCCAAAGTTCTGTTTTTATAGCACAGCAGATACAATTCATAATTCATTGAAGAATTATGCACTAGGGAAAAAAATGAACTCGAATTTTGGCACTGAAAGATATTAGAAGAAAAGCTAAGATTGTGTCTAGAACTTAATTTTTGTACTCCAAAGCTGGGTACAGTATTAGCAATTTATCTTTACACACATGGCTTATAAAACAATGATGTAACTGATTTAGGAATGTAGGAAAGTAGATTTTTAAGGGACAAGCTGGAAATACTTCTTGTCTTCATATGACATCAGAAGTTTTATTGATTTGCAAAAGTCATTCAATTAAGGGTTCTAATGTATGAGCTCCCTGGGATATACAAAATACAGCTGACAGAGTCTTATATAAATCAAATAACATTGAAAAAACTTGACAGAAGCATCTTGTTCTAAAGACGCAGTACCAGAAATCCAATGTCAGCCATGAATCAGTAAGCACACATCTCTCTCTGTTATACAGTTACACGAGAATTAGAAACCACTGCAATAGTTTTGTTTATACCTGCTGTTATTATCTCTTCATTAGTATATGCTTCAGGTTCCCTCCCTCCCCCATCTTTCATTTATAAGCCAAAAGATTTGAGCATGGAACAGACTCTTAGTTTGAGGACACAAGATACTCAATGATCTGAAATATGTATTTAAGGTAGCTATCCTCTGGAATTCAGATAGTTAGGGGGAAAGGAGCTTATTTATGTGCCTGATATGGAATACACATTAATAGATGCTAAATGAATAAGAATAAACATGATTAAATTCATGAATAAATGATTTTCTGCTCAGTAAGAGGTCCCATATGTTATTAAGAATTAGCACAAACTTGACTGACACAAGCAGGCCCCCAGTACTTGGCACAAAACAAGGGCCATTCATGCAGAACCGGAAGGGACAGCTGTCAGGTGCATTTTACACACATGGCTGCAGTATAAAAATGGTCTCCCTTGAACAGGTACCTCTTAGTGCTATGTCACTAAGACATTTCTGCTTTTGGTGACAGTCTGAAGTGTGAAAACTGAACTTTAGCAACTATGCCAGAGGCTCAGTCCAGCATTGCAGGATGTCAAAGTTGCCCATTTTTGATGAGCGAGGTGTTCTAGAGTTCTTCTTGAAAACATACATAAATATTATTGGATTGAAAGTGATTACCTTTGCAACACAAGCTGAGTGAGAAATTACTTTGAAGTGATTGAAATGTGGTCATGGAAAATACATGGGAAAATGGAGGCCTTTCAGTGCAGATCATCTAACCCTTTAGTATTTTACATGTCCTTAGGTTACTTGAGGGACACTCAGTTTTTATCATTCCTCTTAAGATAAGACACAGATCCTTGGGTTCTGCTAACATTTCAATCTAGTCTGATTTAATGAGCTTGACTCGGCTTCATTGCTTACGTCTGAAATGATCCTAAGGTGTAATTAAAAAAACAATGTCTCCACAGAAACTCATTTCAGAAGTGAAAGTGCAGGTGGAAAACAGGGTACCAGGCATCTACTTTAACATCACAGCCATCTGTCCAGATGGGGCCAGAAGGCCAGGCATGGAAGGATGCAGCAACGTGACAAGCAATAATGAAGTACGTGTGAGTGTGCTTTCTGACTTACAGACACTAAGTTGTTTGACATGCTAACTCATAGAAAAATCCAACCATGCTGAAAGTCTCTACTTCCACCTATTCCACCAACCCTATTTATACTCCAGGTATCTTTCATTGTCTCTTTACAATGTTCCTGATTGCTTAAACTCAATCATCTATTCCAACTCTCAAGTTACAGCAAGCAAATACTTTCCTTTCTCCCTTAATAACAGTGAGTAATACATTAAATACGTGTATTTAGTTCTTACTTGAAAGAGAGAAAGGGTGAACGAAAGAGGGACGAGGGGACAAGGGAGAGGAGGAAGGAGGGAGAGAGGCAAGTAAGGAGGAGGAAAGACATAAGGAGAGGGAGGGAGCAGAGTGGGGAGCAGGAAGAGAGGCGGGGAGCAAAATAGGGGAGCAGGAAGAGAGGGGAGAGAGATAGACATTACTCCCATTCAGTGGGTAATACCCCAAATGCCAGGGTTCCCATATGATGTGGAGGGCAGGGATCCAAGCCTAGCAACACCTGCTGCCTCCCAGAGTGCACCTGAACAGGAAGCTGAACTCAGAGCAAGGATGCAAACCCAAACCCAGGCCCTCTGCTTGGGATGCAGGTGTCTGTAGTGGAGACTTGCCTTGTATTTCAGTAAGTGGCTGAGACTATAGAATTTCTAATCCATGTTCCTTCCATCTCTATGGTGTTACAGTTTTGCTAATTACTTGAATGCTATGCTATTGGGGAAAAAAGTTATTGAATAAGAGAGAAGGCCCTATATTCTAAGATTAAGACAAGGGAAAAAAAAGAATTTTCCTTTCTCATTAATTAGAATATATTTTTCCATAATGGAAATTTTAGAATCTGTGGTAGTACTTATGTTTTTCCTGTGAGCTGTGTATTTTAAATTAATTATTGCAAGTTTCTAATCCTATGGTTTCCTCTATAATTACCCTCTGGATTTTGTTCAAAAGACATCATATAACAGTTTATAAAGTACACATATGATTCTCATTAGAGAGAGAAATTTCACTAGCAAAATGTCATACTAAAACAGGTTCTTATGAGTACTTCTTTCTTTCAAAATCTCAAATTTAGAAAAATCATTTTCCCGATTTATTCCTTTTTCCCCTTTTTCTTTGCCTGCATTGTTTATCTTCCTCAGCTTTCACCCAAGCAACATGACCAGTTCACCTCTCAGGAATACTAATTTGCTCTCCCTCCTAATTGTATCAAACCGAAGTTTTGTTCTACTGTGAATAATGACAGTGACCACATTATCCTGCACATCTGCTAATCCTTAACTACCTCCGACGTGATTTCAAGTACAAACCCACAGCACTGATCTTAATAGTATGAGGCTGATTCCAATTCCTTATGTGTACATAAACTTAAGTTTAAATATTATACATATTTAATTACATACATAGCAATTTAATGGACTTAGGTTTAATTCAAAAATATATAGCCAAATGTGATAAATTACTTGATGATGACAAGTTGGGTCACTATAAATAGATAAATCAAATCCACTGTGCTGCATACACACACACACACACACACACACACACACACACACACACACACACAGAAATAGAGCAAATGGAAACATTGAATACACAAGGATACTACTGTTTCAGAAGGGAAATCAGAGCTTGCCAGTCCAGCTCCCTAGCTCGGGAATAACTCCTCCTTCTGGACACAGGTTTAACCCTGCATTGGATTTGCAAGTTCAGAATGTGACGTCTACATCTTTTGTCCTTGAGTAATCAGAGAAAACTTTTTTTTTCCTGCACTGAAACCCTATACAAACCAACACTTAATTCTGACACTTTGCTTGGGCCCTTTAGCAAATAGGAACTAAAGAAACATCTCACCTCAGGATTTCACAATCAGAGAGCAGAGCCTTTGCTTGGGTTTGGTCAGTCTGTCTCTAGTGGCAGGTCCTAAGGAGACCTACATTTTTAGGACTGAATTCAGCAAGTGTCCTATTGTTTCCCATGTCAGCTAAGAAATGAATCATTAAAGGTGAGCGGAGGCTTTAGATAGGCTTAGTCTGTTTATTGGTACAGTATTGGCAATGAATAATCACTGCTAATTTAACCTTAATTCTATTAGCTAGAAAACAAATGACACTGGAAAAGGAAACTGTGCCTACTTAGGAAAGAGATTCGTGTTCATTTTGTCAGACTCATTTCTTTAGGATAATGTTTTGTTGATTCAAATATTATGAACAGATATAATATTGATCACCAAAGAATCAAGGTGTACCAAATGTATGTCCCCTGATTCAGGTACTTTTGAATGTAACCGTTACCATGGAAAAATGCAGTTTCACTGGAGGGAAGAATTATGCAATCATCAAGCCTATTGGTTTCAACGAAACCAGTAAAATCCACATCCACGGGGACTGTGGCTGTCGGTGTGAGAACAGCAGAGGCCAGGCCGGGAAATGTGCAGAGGAGATGTTTCTGGATCCTGTGTGTCCCCAGTGCGATGAGAGAAGGTGTCCTTTGGAGCAAGGGCAGGCCCCTGCTGAGGGCTGCACCTCCCACGAAGGTCAACCTGTGTGTAGTGGCCGAGGAGTCTGCGTTTGTGGAAAGTGTTTATGTCACAAAATGAAGCTCGGAAAGGTGTATGGGAAATACTGCGAAAAGGATGACTTTTCCTGTCCGTATCACCATGGCATTCCGTGCGCCGGTGAGTATGAGTGGGCACAGCTCACGTAGGTCAAAATACCCTCCAGTCGCATCTTTACATGTGCCCACCAGTCATTAATTCTCAGTGTGCATTCTCTGTGGACTTCACAAAGTCTGATCTATACCCCACATGTTGATATTTATGTTCCAACTTACTTTATACAGGAAACACTTTTAAAAATAAAGTGGACTGCCATTTCTATGTATTCCTGGGTCTTGGAAAGATAGATACCTGCAAGAGAAATGGCTGATGATGGCTGACACATGTTCTGCAACAATCAGATTCTCTCCTAAAAAAATGCAACTAACTCTGGTGGATGATCACTCCTTCTAGTTCACTCAGAGGATTTTTTTCCATGTCAGAATAAATGGAAAGTGAGGTATAAAAATACACTTTTCACCCACTGGAAAATTCTTCATGCATAATTGTAGCTGATGTGAGTCTGCAGCAGTTTAGACCTTTCCAGCTTATTCTTGGAACACCACCACCAATAGAATTGCCAAAGAAGAGCATTCTTCAGGAAAATTCTGGTTTACTAAGTAATCTAGAGGATTAGCACTTAAGGCCACACACAGACCAAAATGAAATTGAAATATCAAAATTACTGTGAGCTAATTACATTTACTGCCACCTAGGGGTTAGATGCCAGAAATCTATACACATTTGAAAATTAAAGTGAAATATTATTTTTAAATGAATTAAAAACTGTCATCTGACGTCTGGGAAAACTTCCCTGTCACCATGTGCTAAATCTACTTATTATTATAAACACTTTTTAAGATTTTCACCTAGCAGCTATTTGTAACATCACTGATGATCAGAAATATTTTGGTGCCATACACATAAGAAAAGTAACCAAGTTATGACAAATACATTTCCTATTCTCATCAGCTCAAAGTTGACTTAAATCATCCAGAAGTGTGATGGCAAATTGTCTCTGCAGTCTAGTGTGTACCCAGAATATTTTAAACCCCAAGCATTTTATTCGGCTGAACTAGCATTGTGAATAGCATGAATTCTATTTCTGGATGATGTAGGAATGAATCAGCAGCTTGTCTACTGCACGCTATAGAGATGAGAACTGCTGTCTCCCATACAGCTTTCAGATACAGTGAGGATCCAAGACTGGCTACAGGAAAATATCCAAGCTTAAAGTCCTCAGCATCCCAGCTGACTTTGGCCCTGATGAGCCACAGGCAGCGAAGATGTGCTTTGAATTGTTTGTCTCGGGGCACACGCGGTAGAGCTGACATGCGTTTTCTCGACTCATTTCCTCTGGGAATGCAAGCACGTGTTCGCAGGTCAGCTGGCCAGGATTTGGCTCACCGCCTGTACCACGGAGCAGAGGTTGGCACATGTTTGTTTGTCCTGCAGTTCATTAGTTTGACACTCAGCAAAATTCAGCTAATGCTGCAGTGCACTCTGCAATAGCCCGCACTGTGAGGGATGGGGAGAGTGAGGAAAGGAAAGAGTTATGGAAGGTCACAGGCAGAGGTAAGATGGGGAGGATGAAAGGAAGATGGGTTGATTTGTGTCCACAGATATTTAAGAAACACCGTACAGCACGGTGGCCTAGTGTCTAACAAGCACTCACAAGCACTGGGGTCCCATATAGGTGCCGGTACATATCCCGGCAGCCCCACTTCCCATCCTGCTCTCTGCTTGTGGCCTGGGCAAGCAGCCAAGGACAGCACAAGATCTTGGGACCTTCCACCCACTTGGGAGATCTGAAAGAAGCTCCTGGCTCCTGTCTTTGGATTGGCTTAGCTCCAGCTATTGTGGCCACTTAGGTAGTGAATCGATGTATGGAAGATCTTCCTCTCTGTCTCTCCTCCTCTCTGTATGTCTATCTGCCTTTCCAATAAGAATCAAAATAAATATTTAAAAAGTTTTTTAGAAAAAAAAACACTATATTACACAGCAAAATACAATTCCCTTAAGTTACTAGTTCCCTCAATAAAGTAGCCACAATTGAACATGATAAAGTATAGATACCTAGCATTTCCTCAACCTGCTTGTCTACTAAGTATCCCCTTCCCCAGGACTCCATATACATGCCATTTTCCTTTTTTCTTTTTCATTCACAACCTAGTGAGGGCTCCCAGCATGTATTAACGCAGGCTCCCTCAATCTTCTAAACAAAACACAGTGGAATCTTACTCATCCAACAAAAGCATGAAATCTTGTCATTTGCAACAAGATGGATGAAAATGGAAGCCATCATCAAGTTAAGCAAAGGACACCAAGCACGGAAAGACAAGCATCCCATTTCACTCATATTTTGGGGCAAACAGATGGTGATTTCATAGAAGAGAGGGAACTGGGGAGGAGGGCTGTGGGGCGCTTAATTAAGGGTGCTAGGTCATTGCTAGATCAGAGTAAGAAAATCTTTGAGTCTATTGTATGGTACTGTGCAGTGGCTATAGATAAAGCTAATATACTGGATGACTCTCAAAAACACACAAGCTGGAAGACAAACCTTTAGTTACTTTTACCATAAGGAAATGTTCCATGTTTGAACAAATACACATAGTAGGCCTGAGAGGACAATTCAAATGTATGCGTAGGCTGTAGTGCCTTACAAACACATATATTTTTGTCTGTGCATTTTTAAACTATTTTTAATGCACTGAAGATATGAAAGGATTAGTCTACTTCCCATTATCTTCAAGCTGGGCTTAGAGGCAAGAATCGCTAGTTTGCCTCCCAGTCTTCAAAGCTGTGCTGGACTATATAGTAACAGTGTGACTGAGGGACCAGAATATGGAAACCATTACCCAAGCACTCTTATTTTATTGAATTCAAATTAGACAGCATGGAATCGGGCTCTGTGGCTCCTTTATATTTGCATGTCTTATTTAGTACTGTGCAAAGGGCACTCGAGGAACTGGGCCATCAATGACTCAGGGTCATCCTTCACACATGTTAGCACCAGGCATTAGCATGGGGAAACCATCTATAGCAGAATGGCTCAGAAAAATGTCACCTGTAAGTCCTGGCTTCATACCTGTTGTTCAAACAGTAAATGATGCTGTGCTGCCTCACTCAAGCATCGAGGGGTCTCGAAGGAGACAGGATAGGAAGCCACATTTGGAAGCTCATGGCAGAGTGCATGGGTTCTGAGCTCCCGGGATGTCTGTGTTGCAGGGCATGGCGAGTGTGAAGCAGGGCTGTGTCGATGCTTCAGTGGCTGGGAAGGTGACCGCTGCCAGTGCTCGACAGCCTTGGCCCAGCACTGTGTCAATTCCAAGGGCCAAGTGTGCAGTGGAAGAGGCACGTGCGTGTGTGGCAGGTGCGAGTGCAGTGATCCCAGGAGCATCGGCCGCTTCTGTGAGCACTGTCCCACATGTCCTACAGCCTGCAGTGAGAACTGGTAGGATTTCCCAAACTCCATTAAGTCCTCATTGATCGTGCTTTACTTTTCTTAGTTTTTCTTTGTCTTAGCCTGGTAGATTCCCATGATCACACTAAAAAGAATTGAATGCTGAATTTTAGAAATTAGGGAGACTGAGATTCCAAACCTTTTGTCACAAGTGATTTTGAATGTGTTTTCTCTGGCCTTAGGTCTTCTGATTGCTTGATTATAAGGGTTTTCCAGCTTATTGTTACCTCGTTGTAATCCAAGATAAATTTTAGTATTTTCTGTGCTTCTGTTTACTGATACTGAAAATTATATTTATCACAATCATTGTTATAAATTGCCATATAAAAGTTAAATTCTTCATATATAAACATCACCTTTATGCAAGGCACATGGCAATCACAGAATAAACATTAGCTGTCATTACTCTATTTTACTGGTAAAAGATGACAGTGGTTATGAAGTCCTCAGAAAATGATTAATATGATTAATGAAGGTGACATTATAATGTTGTGTCAATAACTAATTTCCCAATAGCAATTTGAGACCTAATCAAAGAACCAATGATATTGTGCCTCATGTTTTGCTTTATTCAATTTGAAAACATTCACTTTCTCAAAGCAGTAGCTCAAGCCGTTGTTTCTGAATGAGGCATGGTCAGTTGGTTGGATGATGTAGAACCACTCACCTAGTGAGTTATTTCTTATGAAGCTGTTAAAACTGGAAATGTCTGGCCATGACTGTGCTATTGTTTTTCCCTCAGAAAATTTGACTGTTTACCCTGTATTTAAAGGATAAATGTTTTCACTTCCCTTTTCTCCTTCAGGAATTGTGTGCAATGCCTTCACCCTCACAATCTATCCCAGGCTATACTTGATCAGTGCAGGACCTCATGCGCTTCCCCAGAACAGGCTTATCTGGAGCAAGTGTCAGGTAAGCCCCTGCTGCAGGATCCTGGCATTAGGGGACGGTGTTTGATGGACACAGAGAGCCAGCCCCCACTCAAGGCACCTGCAGTCTCAGCCCTACTTCTGCTAACATACACCCCGAGAGGCAGTTGGTGATGCTTCCATTCCTTGCATTCCTGCCAGTCCGAAGAAATACCCAAATGGAGTCCTGGGTTCCTGGCTTCAGCTTGGGCCAGCAGAGCACTGTTGCAGGCATTTGAGTAGTAAACCAGTAAATGCTAGTGTCTGTCTGTCTGTCTGTCTCCCTCTCTCTCTCTCTCTCTCTTTTTAAAAATCTTTTCAAAATCAAAGCAGTGAAGAGTATAGAACTATGTCACTCCCATAAATAAATAAATAAATAAATAAATAAATAAATAAATAAGATCTCATAATTAACCATGCTGAAAAAAAGACTGGCTTCGATTTCTCTTTCATTATGAAGAATTGTTTTACTTTTTAAACAATTTGAGTTATCATTCTACAAAAAAAGTGTATAATTTGTATGTGCAATGTAATGAGGCTTCAACTCAGTTTCTTAAGTCTTCCTTAGAAGATGTGCCAGAACAATTGACAAGGTGTCCCTTCTCACCTGCATGACAGGAGTCCCAGAATAGGAGTGCCTATTCTTCCATGAGGGGCATCCAAATTCATTGTCAAGAGATGTTTCAGGGAGCCAAAAATCGGAGTCTCCCATGTAGATTCATCTTCATACTCGTTGTTTTCCTTCTTGAGGCAAATTTGCATTCAGTTCCTCATATCTAAGCAACATTCACTGTCACATTTCACCTGAAGCCAAAACATTCCCAATAGCAATGATCTGCTTTTGAAAAAAAAAATGCAACTCCAAAATGGCCATTTCTTCCTGGTGCTTTTCATTCTGGTGTAAACATGGTTAAGGGTTATCCAGGAGACACAGTAAAAGGAGTATGGAACTTGCAGCCTGCAGACATTTGCTTAGGGTCCTTAGCATTGCTATTTAAGAAATATCAGTCCCCAGGGCCACTGCTTGCCATGTCAGCATCCTCCAACAGAAAGCCTGTTCCCAACAACACCTGCTTCCCATCCAGCTCCCTACTGATGCTCCTGGAAAACAGTAGAAGACAGCCCAGGTCGGGGGCCCTTACACACAGGATGGAGTTCGTTCCTGGCTTCTATCTAGCCCAGCTGATTACTGTAGACATTTAAGGGACAGTAGATAGAAGATCTCTCTATGTGTGTGTATATGTGTGCACACACATACAGGGATGTACATTATATATATACAATCCTCTCTCTGTCATTCTGCCTTTCCAACAAATAAATATAAATCACTTTCGAAAGAGAACCATCAGCCCTCTTGCAAAATAGCATCTGTCAAGTAGGAAGTGAGATCCACTTCCAAGGGCTGTAAGGCATGAAGTGAGTCCATGAACATGAATGTGGGCTCTAAAGATGGCACAGAAAGGACAGACATGCATGAGAGCTGTGCCCACAACGCACGGAGCCAACTTTGCACAGGTGCACAGCTTGAGCCGCATTCGAAGGAAACCTTGAAACTGTCTCCATTGAAAACTTTCCTACACCCCAGTCTGCAAGAAAAGGCTATCTTTTGGAGAGATTGTGCACCAGAGTAAACTTTCTCCGGGACTTTCAGTTTTCCATTGCAAACGCACTGATCTTAGCCCGTAATGGATTTGGCTCCAAAAAGAATCCATGTGCCGCCAGCTGGGCCTACAATGATCACTGGAGAAAACCGAGTGCCTTTTCTAACAAATAGGATCCTCGCTATCAACATGTCATTTATCATGTTCAGTAAACATTTCTCTGATGTAAGTGTTGTCACCAAAAAAAAAAAAAAAATCCCTTAAAGTATCGTAGGGAAAGCCCTGGCCTGACAAAAACTAAGCATGGACCAGAGGTGGCAAGGTGGTAAATATTTGACAACCCCTTCCATAACCACATTTTTAAAAGTGGACCCAGAAGTATTGCTAACCTATCAGAGACTTCTCTGAAATGTGCCAGTAGCTAAGGAGATCCCCTCCCCTACACAACTATTAGGCAAGGAGAAGGAAAAGGCATCCATGAGGCACCTCTGAGATCTAGCCATTCAGTCACACTTACAGGGTGTTCTGGCCAAACTCCTGCCAGGCAGGAAGCCAGAGAGTGGGATCCAGCCACGTGCCCACTCTGACCATCTGCTCTGGCTGGTTGAGTGGTCTGAAGTCAGCCAAGGAAAATGACAAAAGGCATGCATGTGGTGACCCCAAAGGTCACTGAGGAAGACTCGGGAAACTACATTTTTGAGAGAGCCCTTGGGGAGTCCCTTAATAGCAGAAGACTGTATAGGCATTTAGGGTTCCTATTCCAACAGCAGCAATAGGGTCTGCCTTTGAACTCTCTCTTCCAAGGTATCTTATGACTGATCAGAAATAACTTGAAAGCCCTAATCAGTCTCCCCGCCCCCTCCGCCCAAAGAGGATCCCTTCCCCTTCACCATCAAGAGCTCACGTGGTCATCACTGGGAATTCTGACTCTGATTCCCCATAACGAGAGACACGCTCTTCCATGCCTTGGCCAGTATCCCCATTGGACTCCCTCTTGCAGACTTCTGACCTTCAGACAAGGTCCCCCATGTCTGGAGAATAGGCAGAGGCACAAATGCCGCTTTAGCCAGGAAGTCATTTTATGCATCTGGGGCAGCTGTTGAGTTCTGTGGAATACTTGCCTATTGTGCAACTGCGTTCCCCTCCGATGAGAGTAATAACCTCTGGCAACATCCAAGGCTGCAGGCTTTTCGAGGACGATTTGCCGAGGGCCTGATGCTAACACAGACCTCTTCATTCTGCTCTCTTTCCCTCTTCTAACTGGAAATCTTTTGTTCTTTGTGGGGGAGGGGGACAGGCGAAGGAGTGGGATTTCTAACAGAAAATAGAGTAGGTTTGGTTAGCAGACAAGTGAAAAGGAAATTAATAAAATTGAGGAAGCAATCTGAGTATTGTTCTAACTTGGACACTGCTATTTCCTGGAGAAGCCACATGCGTCAAAATAAGGCAAACCTACCCTGCAACTTCAGAGGAAACATTTATTCATTTGCTACAGGAGTACTGAGTGTAGATTCTGTAGCTGTTTACTCTCTTTTCCATTACTGGTGTGTTCAAGGAAATAATAGGAGAAGCAAACGCTCATGCCTAAAGCTATTAGATAATTATTTAAAATCCTATTTTTCCACTTAGTGATCAACAGTAAACACTGCAGAAAACATCCTTTTCTCTGTTTTGGGTAAAATTATGTTTGGTCAAGGGATCTGCATGCATTCTAGTTAACACAAGTAAAGCATCAAGCTACACAAAAACAATTAATACTGTTATTGAATCCCATTACCATGAGCTAGCAGTCATGTCATGTCAATCCCCTGTTTTTAAAAATGCAGATTTGCCAATCTCTCTGCTCCTGTTAAGTGAACTGTGAAGATAATTTGCTGGGTATCATCTTAGATTTGCTCATTCTGGTTTTTAACCCATGTATTTGTTCATTACAGAATGTTTCTCTAGTCCAAGCTACTTGAGGATATTTTTCATCATATCCATAGTCACATTCTTGATTGGGTTGCTTAAAGTCCTGATCATTAGGCAGGTGATACTACAATGGAGTGGTAGTAAAATCAAGTCCTCCTCAGATTACAGAGTGTCAGCAGCAAAAAAGGTGAGTGGCCAGCAAACAAATGCTGCTAGCGCCCTGTTGTCTAGCTATGGTATTTAGGGCTTTTATTAACAAGACTGTCTCTTCTTTGTCAAGGATAAGTTGATTCTGCAAAGTGTTTGCACAAGAGCAGTAACCTATCGACGTGAGAAACCTGAAGAAATAAAATTGGATATCAGTAAACTACATGCTCATGAGACGTTCAGGTGCAACTTCTAAAAAAAAAAAAAAAACATCTAAAAAAAGGCTTTGTGGGAAACTGATTGTTCAGTCACTGTCCCCACAAAGGGTCGCTGTAGAAGTCACAGCAGGAGCCTGATTGTTCCAAATCCATTGCTGATTGGACTCCAGGGAAGGCTGAGGAGGATGCTGGTGGTCTGCGACTCACATAGCTGCTGAACTTTTCAGAGAAACATGTCTTACTACTGTTGGACACTAGTGTCGTCGTAGCACTTTACTGTAATATATAACTTATTTAGATCAACCTAGAATGTAGATCATGTGAAGAGCACTGGTTACACTTTATAGGTACTGCCATTCCCATGCGTCCCAGAGAGGGGGTGGGGGGGAGCAATGCTGTCAGAGAACTGCATTGTGTCACTACAAGGGTACAGTCATCTCTGTATCGATTATGCAGGAGAAAAATACATTCTGGTTGTTAACACCAGATCTTATTCGCTAACGTTGCCAAACGTTTCAACCAACTGGCAATGACTGAACAAGAACTGCTAGATGAATAGACAGTGCGTCAGAGGTCAACAGCTAGAACCTTAATCTTAGAACATATTGCTTTTGGAAACTGTGTAGTTCAATGCATGTTTTGTTTATCTTTTCTCCAAGATGGATGCAAATTCTAACAGTCTCCTCTTTGCCTTTGTATCTTGTTTTCCTCCCTTACAGGAGAAGTTTATATGTTACAAATGACTGGATTAAATAAGTGCTAAGTTACTACTGCCATAGAAAACTAATTATACAATGTCACTTTATTAGAACACAGGTTTTAAAAGCGGAATGCTAAGAAGGGACACTGTCAATGCCTAAACCTGAAACGCTAGCAGACCTAGAGCTTGGATTTTTCTTACCTGGTAAACTGGATGAACTGTATAACCACTTCATTTGTCTAACCATTAAGTGAAAATCCACAAGATCTTCAGAAGTTCTGCCTCAAGCAATTGAATGAGTTTTCTCACATTTTTGCATGCAAAAAGATGTTAGCAGTTTTCTGGGTTTGTTTGCTTGTTTGTTTTCACTACAAGCTCTATTTACCCTTCAATGCAGCCTGGAAAGACATGTTTTCTCTGGTTCATCCCAACCATACTCGCCAGAATTCATAAAAACACAAAATCAGAGGAGGGTGGTGATATCTTAGAAATAAGGTCACTCGCCCACCAGCTTTCTAGTGAACCAGGGAACTGAGGGTCCGGAAGATGTCTGAAAACACATCCAACTGATTAAATGACAGCATTAGGAAAGAGCTTCTGTCTTCTTATGGCCAGGCCAGTGTTTGTTGCACAATGTCACGCTACCTCTTTAAGATACTCAATTGGCAAGTATTTCTCAACTGAAGTCTTAGCTATGTAAGAGAAAATTTCCAGGCAACACTGAAGTGAGTAATTCACATGGAATGGCCCATAACTGGCTTCCAATATTTCCTGCTCATCAGCTTGAAGGGGGCTGTAAGATGGTTAGTCCCCCAGGGAAATCTATGCTCTCCACAGCCTGGACGAACCATGCCCCTGCCCGTTGTCCCAAATCCATCCCACCAGAGCCTGGATAAATCATGCCCCTGCCCATTGTCCCATGCATAGCTTAAAGCCTCAATAAGGAGGCCGTGAGCTCCTCCTTTCCAAAGCAAACATCTTCACAATTTCTCTATTCCTGCAGACTTGGTCAGTCTGAGTGGACTGGCTGGTCATCTAACAGTCGTGTGTACAGGTCAGTTTTGCCTCTGACCATGAAGAGATTAACATAAAACACCTTCTAAATGGTTCCCCAGATTTGCTGACTTCTGGGACTTGACCTAAAGTCCTAGATAACTGCATTTCGGTGAAGTCTAACCTCCATCCTCTACTCTACCTTGGAGAGGACCAAAAAAAAAATCTTGAGGGTTCTAGAGCCAGTTGCACAACAGCCCTCCAGCTGTGCTTGACAGCCATGCGAGGAGGATAGCACATGGCACTGCACTTCCTTCCTCAGGAGGGTGACTGTGGACATTGGCCAAGTTTGGCACTGTGACTTACTTACGTGAGAAACCTTTGATCACTCAAGATCACGTAAAAATCATAATTATATCCTGTCACACATAGCATCCTTTAAAAAAAAAAGAAAAAGGAAAACAGTGGGTCCCTGACAACTCCAGAAATGCAAAGAAGTGGGAGGTATCCAGGGTTAAAATGCTATTTAAAAAAAAATCGCATTGGTCACAAGCAGTAAATGAATTTCCACATGAAATGAACTGTTCATAGAGTGTAATAATATGAAATCCTTTTTAAATCCCAAGATGTGTATTTTTATACCCTGTCCAGTTTGCCCTAACTGCATAGTAGATCGACCAAGGGTGTGACCCAAGGAAGGCCAGACTTCCTCAAAGATGACTCAATGCTCATTGGTGACTGTCATTACGCTCATGCTGTCAGTGCTTGCTTTGTTTAGTTAACTTAAAGAACTAATTCATAATGAGTTTAGGGTTTATCTTACTTGAATAATAGATATTTTTCTATATAATTGTTTGCTAAAAGAGGATTAATATTTGACTAGTTAGAATTAGTTAAAAGATGAGGGGACACAGGGTATTCATAGATAACATAATTCATGTATACAGAGCCAACTTTCAACTACTACAACTATGGGAGCCTTTTGAGGGGTTTTTTGTTGTTGTTTTGTTTGTTTTGTTTTTTGATAGTAAGCGCAACTACAAAAATGTTTAGGTTGCTAACACATTTTAGAACTTAAACATCATTTTTGGTATGGCAGCATTTTGTGCCCTAAAGAATGTAATGACTTAGAAATGTGCCATGCATACACTACAACACAGCAGTATCGTCTGATTTCTCTGGCAACATCGTTACACTGCAGTGCACTCGCCTTGGTAGACATTTGCTGTATTTTTGGAACTTTGCTAACATTTATTAAGTCTTAGACATTCTCTGAAATATCCAAAAATTCACTAAAAGTCTGAATCTCTGCAAACGTAATAAATGTATCTAGAGACAATTTTTTCCAATGCAAACTGAAATAGAATAATAAAATAATGGATCGATGCATAAGATGCATCACTTCACAGAATAATAAATTCCCAAGATTTTACAAATATTTACTTAATCTGAACTGAGGACATTCACAAGGTACTGAAGTGTGTCATGGTAGGCCATGGAGAGGATTCCGCCACCTGACTCTATTCCTTTTGGTACCTGGTAACACAGATTACACTCAGTGGCTTTTCCTTCCTTTCCTTGTCCCAGTTTTTTCCTACTCACAGTTCCCAAGATGTTGCCCTAAAGCTTCAAGCTCAGCGGATGTAACTGTGGAAAATAACTGAATCGAATGATAGAATGAACTTTTTTATTTCGAAGCATCTTACCTATTTTAAAGCTAGCCATTTCTGACTTTGAATTGTTTAAAATTTTTACCAACTGAATTTCTTTCCAATTTGAAGGATTTGAGATACATGTTTTCATAAGAGTATCATGCAAAATACAGTTACCAGGGAGCTCAATTATGTACAATTTCTGTTCTGTTTTCTGCACTCGTATTTCAGTTATGGCTGTTCAAGTCAGTCATGACCTTAAGAACTTCATTCCTCCAAAGCAAACCGAGACATATTTTCAAAATATATAGAAAACTGACATCTTGCAAGTTCTTCTTTTGTCTTATAATTCCACTGTAACAAATGAACTGTAAGTAATTGTACATTCCCATATTTATATTTCACAGAGTCTAAGACATCCATTTTTTTCCATTGAACATCTGAAATTGTGATCTGTCTTGCAATTGTTGGCATCTGCAGTTGGTGCCATGTACAATATTGTGCTTAAATAAATATTACACTAAATCCAGATTCACTGAATGTTTGTGACTGTAAGGGCATTTCTTATAAATGTTGGTGAACTCACATATGATAATATGTGAAGCCAATTTTCAGTACAACTGAACCACATGCAACCTAATATGGAGATAATCTGGCTCAGGTTCTACACAGCTTAAGTTAAAACAGCTTGTTCTAACTCCTGGTTATACTCAACGCTTGTGGCTAGGATTCAGCAAGCTTAACTGACCAGACTGGTGGATGGTTTTTTGCAGTTTTGTTTTATGCTTTCTATTCCTTTCTAAAGGTTCCCTTTGAATGATCATCTCACTTTTAAGCAGAATTAACTGGAAAAAATATGGTAGAAAATTATTATAATTTGATTTGTGCAGCATTTTATATGTCTTATTCCAGTGGCAGGGGGAAAATATGTTCCAATCCATCAATGGAAAAAATTTTCCTCTTGGGTCCTCCAACTTCATTGTTTTTTATCATCTCTATTCTTTTGACTTTTTCCATTGGCTCTGATAAATATACCTTCAAAACCATGTGATGAATATTGTAAATCTGCATATTTAAATGATTTTAGTTATTTTAAACAATAGTTCAACTCTCCGGGCAGCTGTTAATGAAATACCTGAGAGTGATAACACTACTCTTTTATCTACCTGGGATATTTTTTCTGCATAAATTTATCTTTGTAAGCTAACTCTTGGAATCAGGTTTCTAGCTTTGACAGCCAACTTGAGTTAAAACTTTCAAACGGTAATTTTAAAAAACACTGCCATCATCAGAAATGGAAGTGTGTGATCTGTGTAAGGAACTTTTACCAATTTTACACTGTCTTACATATATGAATGTGACTTTGATGACAATACTAAACAATGACAAATATGGTACACAGAGTTTTTATTAAGAATGCTGAATATAAAATATTTTAATTCTAAATTATAAGAAAATATAAATTTGCACATATTAATATAGAAGACCATGTGAATATTTAACATACCTTTAAAACTATTTTACATTTACCAGCTACTTTAAAGTTGTTTAAACCTCTGCAAAAATTTTTAGAAATGTTTTTAAGTTATCAGTTATATAACTTTATTTGTTTCACCTAACTTGTACTGCCTTTGTAAAAATTTTAGTATGGAATGTATTTTTAAAATATTTGACTATAAATCCACTAAGAAAAAGCAGATTCTCACTTAACATGTATATTGTTATTTCTGTCTTTTAATTATTCATGAAGATAATTGCCTTAAATTAAGCAGATGATTGGAGAACATGATAATTTTATGAACTACGCTATGAACCTGTTTATAGAACTGATTGACTACTAACTTCCGTTCTATGTATTTATTAAAGAGCTGACACTGTAGTCTGTTGTGAGATGTATATTTTTCTATAACAGAGCTTACAACCATCATGACAAGGCCTTTCATTAATGCACCCTTCTGTTTCAAGTAAATGTTAATATGAAGATTTCTTAAAATAAAAATGTAAAGATCCCAGATGCAGAATTGCTTGTTTATTTGGTTTGTGTCGCTTGACCTTCAAAGTTGTCAAACACAAGCATGTTGTCATGTGAGCCTGTGCAGTGACGCCCACACGCTGTCGTGGGTGGGGAGGAGACGTGCCAGGATTCCCGAAGAAAAAAGCTACTTACAGAAAACCATGGGGCCAGTGGTGAAGGGATAAGTTCACATCATTGCCCTTTTCCTTTCAACAGCTGCCAAACTATGAAAATAGAAGGACTATTCCAATTCCAGTAATTAAAAAAGAATTGAAAAAATAGATCAATACTCAAACTGGGCCTGGGCCCCCCGCTGCTAGAGAGTTCTCCTGCCACCTGGATCGAGTGTGTCACACAGTCACCTATCCCCTGGGGAAGGTCACAGCTAAGATAATAATAACACAATTTTCCCTTATGTAACCTTGGATAAAGAATAAAACAGAAGAGTTGTAGACACATTAAAAATGTTGCATGGTGTGTATAGATTCCCTTTTCCCTGCAATGCTGGTCATCATTTAATGCAAAAGGAATGTGTCACACAGCACTCCTAGAGGTGAAAGTGTTTGCTGGGGAGTTGAGCTGAAAGCTATCACTTAATCTCTAAAGACCTTGGTTTCATGAACTCAGTCCAGTTACTTGAACTGCAGTCTTCAGGCTCAGAACCTTGACTTGGGCATGAAGGCTGCTGGGCCCTATTCCTCCCATACCCTGTTAGCAACAAGATCCTCCTCTCCAGGGTCAGCAGAGCACACAGCTAACACAGTAATTCCCCAGACTCCCTTTGTAGCTAAAGGCACCTGCAAGCCTAGATGTGGACCCCGGGGAAAAGCAGAGAACATCGTACAAAGGAAGGCAGGCTTTGGCTGAAGTCAGAGCTTTCCCTTAGTGCTTAACTGTCTCCCACATCAGTAATGGCTGTTAAGGATACAGTCTTAGCTGACAAATAGCAACGGAGGCCATAGCACACAATCACTACTCTTATTGTGTTTCTTTTTATATAATTGGTTCACCGAATCCACAGCAGCACAAGTATCACATTCCTTAGTTTTCCTTGGGGAGTCAAGGATCATGTATAAATGTATGCAACCAGTAAGTGGCCAGATCAAGATTCATACCCAAATCAGTTTTTTTTTTCCATAAGAAAAGATCGTATACATTTTGAGGATGGGTTTCACCAGTTAACCTTTGCCCTCACATTCCACAAAACATATGTGGCAAACACATTGGAGAATCTGATTTATGCCTACAAATACTACCCAGGAAAAGGCAGACAGTCTTCAAAATGACAAAATGCTAAATGTACTCATATGGTGGAGTTAGGGGATTAGCAGAAAGTCTACTGAGGGCTTCATATGACCCAGACCTTGTAGCAGAAGTGAGCGTGGACATGCAGAACAAAGAGACGGAGGTGATGGATGTCAAAGCATGACCAAATGAGGACTCCATTCTAGAACACTGAAACCCATTAGGGTGCAACATCAGTA